GAGAGACGAACGACGCCGACGCATACATGGAAAGGGCTTTGAATGTGACCCGGGACCAACTCCATCTCCGACGAGCCATGGAGGTGAGATTTGTTAAGTGATACAGACTGGTGAAGAGGTAAAAAAGTACTTCGGTTGAGAACCGAGAAAAGTTCAACACTATATGGGACCTTCAAGCCGATTAAAGCCTCGCCGGAACAGCTGAGACGTCGGATCTGAAAGCTCCCGCGGTGGAGTGGTAGTGAAGTCTTGAAACGGTTTGGATCTACAGAGAGGTTGCTGGAAAAGACGAAAGAGGAGGAGACTATCCGACGCCGGCGAGCCCCTCCTCCACCGGCGTCGGAAAAAGGAGATTCTTTAGTTGCCTCGGTAATGTTGCCTGAGAGAGACTTTCCTTCTTTCTCGTATCCCACTCATCCACTTTTTTTGCAATTTTTTATGGAGAAGTACACGCGTTAACTACTAAATACCAAAACTTAGATTTGTTTTTGTTTTGTTTTGTGAATAGCCCCTAACAAATTAAAATTTATTTTGCAGTTCATAATGAAATTTTTTTAGTTGATCGTATTAATTCTTGATTATAAACTTACTTAAAAAAAAAAAAATTAAAAACATAAGTGACAAAAAATTTATCATATTTGATCTAATAATATATATTGACGTAATTTCTAATAATGATTTTTTAAATATTTTAAATACACTAATTATTAGAATTTAATGTAGATTTTAACTTTCTAAACTCATTTTATATATTAAAGAAGTTTATAATTCAATCAGGAGCACACAAAGTTTAGTACTAAATACTATTTTGTTCAAGAAAACCCTAAAAAGTATAATAGCTCGGTTGAAAAATTGATGTTTTATGTTTTTCAGTCATATCTCTGGTTCGAACCGTAAAGGTTTCATTTTTTTTTTCGTTTTCACTATCTTCTTCGCCGACGTTTTCTTTTGCCCGGAGGAGCCGACTATTTCTCCTCTCTCTCTACTTTGATTTTCAGGTTCTTGCCCTCTTTCTTTCTTTCTTCTGCAGCTCCGTTTCTATCAGCTCATTATCGATAAAGATTTCCGAAAGTATTGGTTTTTTGTAGTGATTAGACAAGTTTTAATCTTGGCTCATGAACTTTGTTATGATTAACGTATTGGGTTTGATTGGACTATTGTTTTATTGAATTGTCAATGAAAAAAACCCTTAATTTGCACTGTCACAGGAAGTAAAAATATGGACTTTGATGATGAAGACAAACCAAAAGAGGTTGCCAAAACCCGTAGATTCGCTCCTGGCCGTGCCGGAAAGTCTAAACCGAAACCTAAACCGGAACCGCCGCAATCACAAACTGAGTCTGTGAGCAAGAGTGAGCATGACGTTGATGCTAAAGGTGCTGGTCCTAAGGTTGAAACTGAGGTTTATAATGGCTCTGTTAAAATGGAGATTGATTCAAAAGTGGATAAAGAGCCAGAGTTCATGGATACTGAGTTGATTGAGGAAGATGAGCAGCTTCCATTGCAGGAGGAAGAAGAAGAAGAAGAAGATGTTGTTGTTCGTGAAATCGATGTTTTCTTTAATCCGTCGTTTGATGCTAATACTAAGGTCTATTGGATTAGATTATTCAAACAACATTTTGATTTTGCTTATCGTTTTTGAAGTTTTGATTAATGTATGTTTGTCAAATGTGACAGCTTTATGTTCTACAATATCCTCTAAGACCGTCTTGGCGTCCATACGAAATGGATGAACGATGCGAAGAAGTAAGTGTTCCCTTTGTTTATTGTGATGAACCTGCATTTGTTTTGGTTCTAATCTTTTTGTTTGTTTATGTGTCTTTAAGGTTAGAGTGAATACTTCTACCTCCCAAGTGGAAATTGACTTGTCTATGGATGTTCATTCGAAGAACTATGACTCCAATTTTGGACTAAATATGACTAAGCAGGTAGTGTTTTAGTTCTAAGCTTGATTCAAGTTTAATCTTTTTGATGCAACTTCATTTCTCTTGTTTTTCGTTCTTTTTGGTAGACCTTGAAAACAACATGGAAGCAGCCTCCTACTTTGGATTATGCTGTTGGGGTTCTTTCAGGTGATAAGGTATTTTTTCCTCGTTTTCGAAAGATTCATAACATTGTTGTGTAGTGTGGACTGGATATCTTGTTAAATTGGACTTGTTGACTTGCAGTTACACTTGAATCCTGTTCATGCTGTTGCTCAGCTCCGGCCGTCTATGCAGTATCTTTCATCCAACGGCAAAAAAAAACAAGAAGAATCTACTGAAGAATCTGTCGGAACATCCAAAAAACAGGTATAGATCATGATCCAACATTTGCGAAAGAATTGACCTGTATCGATCTTGGTTCAGTTTTTAAAGCGCTGTAGATTTAGCATTATCGCTCAGTCTTATTTCTATTTCACTTCTTCTTTCTGCTGTGTCAAAGATATGCCCAAGTAGATTGGCTACTTGTGCCACCGTTTATATGATACTAGTTTTGAGTCCATATATTTATTCTGTGGCAGAACAAGGGAGTGCAGGCTTCGACGGATCAGAAACCAATTAACGAAGAAGTATGAGATTTGGTTTTATTTTGTTTTTATGTGATCCTTTCTTTTCTTTGGTTTGTTGGTGCTTATGTAAACTTAAGCTGCTATCTTTCTTCTTCCTTTAGACTTGGGTTGCACTCAAGTATCATGGACTTCAATCCGAATATTGCTCCACATATCTTAACGGGATGATGGCGAATGGGAACTCTTCATTAGATTTCAACATGAGCCCGTATGATGTCTTCCTTTCACTGAGTTCGCGTGAGATAATTTTGGGGTTTCCTGCTTACTTTAAACTTTTTTCTTTTTTCTTAATATCTTTTTGTATTGAAGGGACGTTTATATCAACGAACTGTGCCGTGGGGGAAGCAGCAGAAACTCTGAATTGAAAGAAACATCAAAAAGGTACAATATATCAGGTTCATCTAGTTAATTTGTCATCTTATCATCGAAAAGAAATCACTGTTGCTTTACCAATGCCTGGTCATCTGTGTCATCTAGTCAACATTTACACCCTTTCTTAAGATATAGTCTTCTGCTTTCAGGGTCTTGCTTTCCCTACCACTTGAAGAACGTGTGAAAAAGTTGCTCTGCGAGGTTGGTAACTATTGTAATCAGCATTGTGTTTCTCAATTATTTTGTTATTTTCTGTTTTTCAAGATGAAGGTTATATGGTTCCGGCCTTTAGTATTGAATAAAATAAAAGCCATTTGTCTAAATCGTTCGAATCATAACAGGGATCTCCGTTGCTTCGATACAATGTTCTTAAGCATTATGCCCCTGAGTTCTCAGACGAGGATTTCTTAGGGGCCCTCCAAGAAGATGGCTGGTTAGTTCAAGGTTTATGGACTCCCAAAACTAAGCTACTGGGACTAGATGAAAACTGTAGAAGTATCAGGGAATATGTCCTGTCTCTGTTCAGCCAGAATACAACTATAAAGTACTCTGAAGTTGAAGCAACGGGTTTTCAACGCGAGAAGATGATAATTATGAAATCTATGTTGACAGAATTTGCCAAAGAAAGGCCTCTGCTAAACGATTGGAAGTTCAAAGAGCCCACTGATGTCTCATTCATAAAATCCTACCCGGAGATTGTTAAGGAGCAAGATATTTTATGGACGAATAGGAAAAAGATTATAGAGTCAATATTAACCACCAGAAAAAGTAGAGCTGATAATAGGAGGAATGTCGTTGGCAAAAATTCTTCAGTTACAGTTAAACCGGAGGTTCCAACAACCCTCTCGGACAAAGGAGGAAGTTCAAGAAATACGATACCTCGTGTTGTTGGACAAAAAATGCCAGAAGAACTTCGGTGGGCGTTACCAAAGGCCTTGAAAAAGGTGTTTCAAACTCACAAAGTTTGCAGGTGGGATTCTTGAGAATTATACTCTGCAATTATCTAAACTTTGAAATTTTCAGATTTTGTTTCTTTCATAACATGTGAATTTCTTACGAAAAAGGAACGAGAGTTAATTACAGAAACTTATGGCTAAGTAGTTTAAGTGACCCTCAAAAAGAAAAAGCCATTGTGAAACTAAAACTGTTAGATCAGACATTACGTGTGAGTAATCTCTTTCTTGGATTTCATATGGATTTTTGTGCAGGTATGAGACGATCTGCCAAGGACTTAGGGATCTTGCAGTTTCGACATCAAATAATCCAAAAGCTGATTCAGGAATGGCAGTGAATGTGGCGTTAGCCGTGGATGCTTACCAGGATGAGCTCAAAGACGTTATAAGTGAAGTGGCTGCTAACATTCACGGGTCTTATGTCTCCATATCATCTCCAGACCATCCTGAATACGATTCTTTGAGGTTATTTGTTGTTGGAACATGATCATATTGGTTCTTTATGTTTCTGTCGAATCTCTAATTTCTCTGTTTTTTTATCATCAGGGGAGTGGTGATTAGCCTTTTTTGCGGAACTGGACCTGGAGCAAAGCTTATGAAGGCTGAAGTATTTGCAGCAGGCAGGAACGAACTTAATCGTGAAATCACCAACAACGAATATATAAAGGTCTTCACTTGAGCTCTCTTTCGACTTTTTTGTGTTTCGACCAAAGTGTGGTTTTAGTCTCTAAACTCTGTGTGTTGTCACAGGTGATGCACGATCTCTGTGAAACCAACTCTTCAGGATGGGTTTTACAGAAAGCTCGATGATGAGTTATCATTACTCACAAATCATCATGACTAGATTTTAATGATCTATAAATTTTGATATATCCTAAGAACTCATTTTGTAAACGGTTCAGTAATTTTGAGGGATTTTTATTTTGTTTTCCCTTTTTGAAATCAAACAACCTTTTTCTATTACTCAACTAGAGTTGGTCACACCAACAGGGGAAAATAACATAAGAAACAACAAAAGAACTAAACAGCACACATAGACGACTAAGTTACAAAAGCTGGATTAGACATTTGTTGATTGGAGAGGCATTGCATTGCTCAGAAAGAGCTTCAAACTCGACAGAGAGTGTCCTAATGTTTTCTATTGAAAACTTAAGCTCTTCAGATATATTTTACATGCAAGAATGTAAAAAAAAGAAAACAACAATGGAAACATCAAATCGGAAGAAAGTGTAAATACTTGAAACTGTTCAGTCTAAAGGTTATCACAGTTGATGTGAACTCAAGTAAATTTGAAACAAAAAAAAGTAATAAGAACTCATAATCTGTTGTTCAAAACGGGAACCAGAGAAACATTGTCAATCTAATTCAGTTACTTGAAGAGGCTGCAAACCCGAATTCAATCTTGTGTGTCGTTTCACCATCCTCCTTTGCAGCTGAAGTTCTCTCAGAATATGTGCACCAAGTCATAAGCAAATCTACTCCATTGTTAAGGAAACCTACTGAGATAAATAGAAACAAAAGAGAGATATTTTCGAGTGCGCAATCTCTATATGAAGTTACCATTTACTAAAACCAAAAAGGCCATTTCTATGCTAATCACAGGTTCTTAAGAAGCTAGTCCTTTTTACCTACACCATACCATATATGTTCTTTCATAAAGCTAATCAACCTTTGATTTAGTTTTTCACATTTTCATAAAATGAGTATGACCACCAAATTGAGTTTAAAGGATACGTCCAGAAGAGCACAAACGACTGCCAAAAAGAAAACAACACCGCAATCAGTATGAGATTACCAACAGGTTGAATCAACAACTTGTATCTTGAAGCAACAAACAAAGTAAGAAAAGGAAATGATGATATACCATAAGGCCACCAAGAAAGCCGTCAAAAAGGACCCGATTCCACGAATCAAAGTACAAGTCAGCTGAGAATCCTGCCTTAGCCATGAGCCCAACTGATGTGATCAACATCACAACAAAGTAAAATACAAAACCAGTCAAGCCATTGAATCCAATTATTCCTGCAAGAACACCAGCGATGATAGACAGAAACGTCCGGCTGCAAACAAGAAAAAAATTAGCGACAAAACAACATCGTCAAAAAAACGAGAACCATCATCTTTTTAAGAAAACAAAAGAGACAGAATTGAATTGAAACAGACCTGTTTTGAATAACTTTCAAATTGTTCTGCAAATTCTCTGCACTGAAAGTTGGTATGTCACTCATGATATCCTTTGATCTCTTCTCAGATGAACCCATTTAAGATAGTAACAATCTGAAACAACCGAAATTTCAAATCTTTATATTGTATGTAACATAGAGTGAGTGTATAGATTAGAAAACCTAAAAAGAATTGATTTTCAGCAAATTTTCCACAGGAAAATTAGGGGTTTCTACTTGATTCAATGATTCAATAACTGGGTTTCGCTATCTAAACATCATGATAAAGTTCGATTCCTAAAGGTTAAGACTTTACGATTATCTCTTAAGTAGTCCCTACAAGAGAGTGGGAGCAACCAATGGTTAATCGATCTGGATTTATCGATCTCTTTAAGTCAATTACGATCTACTACTTTAAGATCTACACAAACTTTGGAAAAGGAATTGAAAAAGACTTACAATTAGAAACGAGAGTAGTAAGAAGAAGATCGAAGTAGCTTGCTTGGTACTTGGGAGGAATTAATGGAATGGATGAGCCAATTTGAGAGAGAAAGAGATCAGAGAACAACAGACGACGAGTACTCGTAAATCTCTCTAAAGCCAATCAGAGTTTTTTTTAGCCCAAAAAAGAACACACAGACAAAAAAAAAAAAGTAATATATAAACCAGAAAATCGAACCGGAAGCAAACCTTAAACCGGAATGTCCACTACTATCCAAAATTAACAAACACTCCAACTATGCTAGTAAAATTTCTTGATATTGAAACGGATAACATGATTATATATCACAATTTGTGATTAAAAAAAAGTTCATTTCAACAATTGTTACCACTAAAGGTGAGCAGCTCAGTTTGTTGCAAGTTTATAGCTAAATTTAAACTGAATCTAGTTCGGTTTGGATTACTTTGCTTAGGTTTATGTTTAACAAAACACTAAAACAATTTATTAAGAGAGAACGATAAACTGTTATAGAAGTATGAAGTATAGGTACCTATGTTTGTTCAGTCAGATGATTCATCTGGATGCAGATGATAAATGATGTTTGTTAAAGACAATTTAGTAAAACAATTAGATGAAGTAGTTGGATGACCTTTATAAAATTTATTAAAGAAACACAGAAAATCCGGTTGAAATGCAAAATGTCTAAAATACTCTCGCTTAATTAAAAAAAATTACACTATTCTCTTTTTCATCTTCTCTAATTCTTAGACAACAGAAGAGAAATGAGATTTAGGATTTTCTCACTCGGCTACTCCTCTTTCATCATCTTTTTCGCCGGATGAACAAACGAACACGGCTTTAGTATATATACTACGATTGCTTGCTACAAAAGCGATACACCCGTATTGAACAAAAAATGTAAAACTCAAATATGTAAACAAAACAACTAAAAGAAGCGTACGGTGGTAATTTGGTTTGGTTTGGTTTGAGAAAAAGCTTAAAACCAACAGTTTGGGCATGGATTTAAATTCGGTTACTGCAGCCACTACCACTAATGGTTCGGTTCCAGATTGATTTATGCAAAATTACAGTTTTAGTTAAACTTAAACCGAATGTTGACAAAATCTTTCGTCGTATCTAGCTTCAATTTCAACTAAATCCAAAATAGCATATTCCAGATTTCGATTCCAACAATCTCAGTAGCGATAATTAATTATTGTTACAAATTGCCTCAATCTGTACAACCAAAAAACTTACAAGAAATGCCATAAAAAAAGTTTCTTTTTGAAATTGCCATAATTTTGAATTATTGTGGTTTGAACTGACGAAATTACCCCTATACTAAACAAGTGAGAAAATGATAGACAAAATTGTTGTCTACTAAACAAATTAGTGGACAAGATTTTGAATCAATAGATTTCGAAAAAATTTGACGGACAAGAATCGTTATCCACATTCAATGCTACATATTTCACAAAAATTTAGTGGACAAGAATATTTAATTTCGTATCCACATTGAAATCAACAGAATTCAAAACCATATATCCATACAAAATTCATTTAATCAACATATTTTTTAAAAAATGAGCCATTGAACTTACAAGATAGCAAAGGTTGCCGAAAATTCCTCAAAAAATATTGTCTACAATAATTTGTATACCTAAATTGATTTAACAAATTGGGCATAAAATTTAAGTTGTCCACTGAATGTTAATTTGTCTACTGAAATTTTGAGATCGAAATCACATAATTTAATATTGAATGGACAAAATAAATCACAAGGAAACGGTAGACAAGATGTGTGAATTTGGCATATTGTCTACCACAAATTGTTGTGATGATAAATGTTGTCCACAAAATTTTCAAAATAATGTCCATGAACCTGTTCTAGATCTCATGGAATCGGATCTGAATGAGATTCCGTTAGAAATGTAAAAGTTTTTGTTAGAAACGAGATTAGAGAGTGGAAGCTCCGAAAAAAAGACGTGTTTGGTAACTCGCCGGAGAAATCATTGAAAGAAGTTGTTGAAACCGGCTAAAACGATTAAGTTTTTGGTGAGTTAGTTGTGAAAGATGTCGAGTATTCCATGATTTTTTCCAAATCATAGAATCTCGAAAGGCTTTCTTTGTTGTCGTTGGAGAGAGAGAGGAAAGAAGGTGAGAGAGAGAGAAAAGAGATCGAGAGAAGAAGGAAAGGAGAAGAGAGAGAACAAAGAAAAAAAATGAGAGAAAAAAAAAGAATGTGGCTTTTAGTGAAGGGTAGTTAAGTCTTTTTAAGTGTTGGTATGGCATCCCAGGAAAGAAAAAAGTCAAAGTGGCATTTTAGATAAGTTTTTATAAAGTGTGTGGCATTATTCTTAGTTTTCTCATTAATTATTGTTACAAATTGCCTCAATCTGTACAAACAGAGTCATTAGAGCGACGATGATGATGAGGAAGACGATACTCAGCTCGGATTTTAGATTCTAGGACAGAGACATATCGATCTAGAACAGAGATCACAGCTTCAAATTCCGACACTTGTTTCTCGATTGCATCCATTTGTCCGACGAATTCATCCAAGCCACCACTTTTTGATTTCATCTGTTCTGCGAAAACTCTGAGCCCAGCTGCCACGTCACCCATATCATCGTACTCCGACGCAACTCTCTGATTCATCTTCTCCAATAGATCTAGATGATTGTTCGTTCCCTATTTTTATCCAATTCAATTTTCAGATCTGGGAAACAAATAATTTGGATTATTAATCTGTAAAATTTCGGATTGATTTTTCACCTGGAGCTCGGATTTGACCATAGATGAAACACTCGTGAATAGATTCTGTAGCGATTCAGCTAGATCATCTCGTGATTCCGCCATTGATGAGGATAGATAGATACTTCTTCTCGCAAAGATAACAACAATCAATCAATCAGTTTTTAAAAGGGGTTGCAACCATAAATAAATACCCTGGGGCCTACTTTTGAACATCTAATAATCAGATTCGGGTACGCGGATCGGATTCGGATAAAACCCGATCGGGTACGGATCTTTCTGGTAAAAGAGTTTATGATCCAATAGGATAAATAAAAAAAATCGATTCGGTTTCGGTTCGGGTTTTTTGGGTTTGGGTCGGTTCGGATATAGATTTCAGAACCGCTAAATACTCGCTATATAAATGTTCGGATAAATTTTCGGATTTACGGTTATTGGGTTTTGGGTAAATATTCTAATTTTTGGGTAAAAATTCAAATTTCAGGTTTTTCGAATAAAACATTCGGATATTTTTGGATTTGGTTCGGATTAGGGTTCGGTTTTTTGGGTATGTGAGATTAGGACCCAATAGAATTGATCTAAATTTTTGAGGTCAAATTCGGTCGAATTATTCGGATCGGTTGTTGTTCGACTACTAGTCTGTTCGTTTCGTCGCCGCAGGCGGCAGCGGCGACGGCAAACACTACCGCAGATTGTTGTTCGTTTCGTCACCGCCGATGCTGCGGCAACCGCTGCTGCTGGCGCAGGTTTTGTGTTCGTTTAGATGCCGCAATCTCTGCCGCCGCCGCAGCCGCAACTTTTTTTGTTCGTTTCGTCGCCGCTGCGATAATTTTACTTAATTCTTAATTTATTTTTATAAATTTGTATAATTATATTTTGAATCAAGAAAAATATAATTTAAATATATTTATATCCATAAGAAATAGCTTGTAATAAGTTAAATATATTTAAATATATTTATCTTCTAACCATCTGCAAATAAAGTAACTCCCAATCAATCCCATAATTCAGATTTGCAAAATATAGTTATTAGAGTGAATCTACTAATTAAGCAAATATTAAACGTTAAATACTAAGCAATTACTAGAGTGAATCTACTAATAGTTACTAAAGTGAAACAAATAACAAAAAATCCCAAACGTTAAGCAAATACTCAAAACTCAATCCATTAGCAAAAAATACTCAAAACTCAATCCATTAGCAAAAAATACTCAAAACTCAATCCATTAAGCAAAAAATGCTACAGATTTGGAAATGTGATTCAGATTTGAAAGAGTTAAGCAAATATGTACTAAAAATCATCAAGGTTCTTTCTAGTCCTAAGCTCCAAAAATCTAATTTTATCTTAAGCCCTAGGAAACGCTATAAAACAGAACAGTCTTAGTCTTAAACTGTCTTAGCTTGTATATGTATAAGTCCAATAGATCACAAAAATCTTCACACGAAAAAAAATCTTAAAGAATTTAAAGAATCCAGAGATGCAAATGATGATGATGATACTTCTCTTATGCTCAATAATCTTAAAGAATTTAAAACTCTATGATCAAAAACTCTATGATCAAAAGCTTAAAACCAGATAAAGTACATCTAAAGAAGAAGCAATAGTCAAATTTAGAAATATATGGAATTGAATCGTTTGACAAGAAACTTAAGAGAGAAAGGGACTACATGTAGACATGTGAATCAGAGATGAAGAAATGTGACTTAGCAATTGACAAGTAAAAAGGGACATGAAACCACACACTAACTCCTCATTCACACTTCAAGTCTCAAACACATTCTAATTGCTAAACTCCATTTGTTCTAATTCCCACAACTATAAATGATTCAAACATTCCCCATGTAGAGAAGAACACCATTATCTCCAGCTAAGACGAAGTAAGTAAAATCAATGACTCATTCAATCCACGACACTTAACACCTAAACTAAAGACAGCTCCAAATTTTCCAAACAACCAACATCACGAGACTTAAAAATACAAACAAAGAGAACACACCAATTTCTTCACCAATTCATATCCTCTCAACCTTATCAGCCTTCACCACATGATTAGCCTTACCCATCAATGTAAGATGCATCAGTTTTTTTATTCCAATTTGAGTTGAAGAAACAAAATCCCAGAACCAACAATTCATGTAATCTAGTCAAGCAAACTCAGATTAAGCATAAACACCAACATAAGCTTTAGATTAACCAGAAGATCTTAGTTATCTACTTTTAAAGCCTAACATAAGCTTTAGCTAAAACTCCAAACACCAAACAGAGCGATTAATCAAAAACTGATAAGAACAATGACTTCAACGGAATCAATCTTCTAATCCACTAATAAAAGAACATAAATTTCATAGAAAAATCGAAATCTAAACAAAACCCAGATGCAGAATCATTAATAGAAACAGAGATTGAGTGGAAAAAATCAAAACCTAACCTTTGAAAAGCAGAGATCGTTTGTCTCGAGGATTGCTGAGAAAGAAGAGAAATTAGGGTTGGGTTATTTTGTAAATTTTTGAAAAATAAGGGTATTTTTGTCATTTACCATATTAATCGCAACTTTTTCCTCGCCGGATGCTGAATTTCATCGGCGTTCAAAATTATTCGCCGCAAACCGTAGCGTTTGCTGCAACGTCTTGCCGCAACGTCTTGCCGCAAGTATCTGCGGTAACCAAACGAACAAACATAGCTGCGTCTGCCGCCTGCGGCGACGAAACGAACAGATGTTCCGGTTTTTTTCCATGTGAAAGCTATTTTTGTAAATCGTACAACTACTAGGACTATTTTGTAAATACTTAAAAACTATTGGGGGCGAAAGTAAAAGATAGAACTTGCGACACAAAGACTTTTGAGTTGAAACGTGTGACTGACTAGTGAAGAAGACTACAATGTGGCGCCGGAGCTTCAGTACATTACCGAAGAAGAAATGGGACGCGGTGGTGATCGGAGGTGGCCACAACGGATTAACAGCCGCGGCTTACCTGGCACGCGGAGGTCTCTCCGTGGCTGTTCTCGAGCGCCGTCATGTCATCGGTGGTGCGGCAGTAACGGAGGAGATCGTTCCTGGATTCAAATTCTCACGCTGCAGTTACCTTCAGAGCTTACTTCGTCCTTGTATCATTAGGTACGTTTGATTAACCTTGTTTTGATTTTGTTCTCATCGTTCCTCGATTGTAATTTTGATTTTGGATTCCAAAGAGAATTAGAGTTAGGCAGACATGGACTTAAGCTTCTCAAGAGAAGTCCTTCATCGTTTACACCTTGTTTGGATGGTCGTTATCTTCTTCTTGGACCTGATCAAGATCTTACTCATTCTGAGATTTCAAAGTTCTCCAAACATGATGCTCATGCTTACCCAAGGTGATTTGTTTTTTTTTTTAAATACTTTGCTAATGGGCCCGAGAGAGGACGTGGGTGCTCACTGGTAGGGGCGGTCAGGGCGTTACATTTCTTTTTGTTTTGCTTTACAGATACGAGAAGCAGCTAGAGAGGTTTTGTGGATTCATGGATCCTCTTTTGGATGCAACTCCACCTGAATCTCTGCAAGGTGCCTCTTCTTTTAATGATAAGTTGAGCAACAAAATGTACAAATCTGCTTTTTGGGCTCGTTGTCTCCGGCAGGCGGTTTCTCTGGGGCATAAAGATATGGTGTATGATCTCCTTTTTTAAAAAAGATTAAGCTGATTTTGTTTGTTATCTTTCACTCTTTTGTTTAGATGCTCACTAAGTACTGCAATTTTTGTTGATTTTTATCAAAGAAGTACTGCAATGTTTTTTTATCTCGTGAAGGGATTTTATGGATCTTTTATTGGCCCCAGCTTCAAAAGTTTTGAACAACTGGTTTGAGGTGCTTTTCTTATCTTAGCACCTATTGGTTCTACAACTAGCATTAGCAAGTAGTCTGATGTTGTATTGACACACGTTTTTGTGTTGGCCTTATGCTTGAAGTCTGATGTCCTGAAGGCGACTCTTGCGACAGATGCCGTGATTGGATCTACGGTAATTGACCTTCCTAATATTGTACTCATACTATATTGGGGGCTTAATGTAGTGATCTGAACATTAATTCACAGGCTAGTGTCCATACTCCGGGAAGTGGATATGTCCTCCTACATCATGTGATGGGAGAAACAGATGGAGAGAAAGGCATTTGGTCGTACGTATCTGGATTATTAATTTTGTATTTTCCTCTTGATAATTTGGGAATGTTGAAATAGCGGTGCATGTTTTACATAAGTGTTGATGCATAAGCAATTGAAGAACTATCTTACCAGATATTAGTAAACATGCATCTATGTAAGGTGTAAATGAAGAGCACAAGATTATCTTTTTAAGAAAATTAGGCCTGGCTATCGTGAGTAACTGGTAAGAAAATAATATGCAGTTATGTTGAAGGTGGGATGGGCTCTGTCTCCATGGCTATAGCCAATGCTGCAAAGCAAGCTGGTGCTGAGATTTTCACAAACGCAGAGGTATTAAATTCTAGATCATTTTGAGATTATCTCTCTTTCCTACGATATGCAGAACAGTGGAGTTCTAGTATCATTTCTCTCATCAGAAATCAGAGCAGCTTAATACATTCATATTTTCCAGGTTTCTGAAATACTAACTGAGGACTCTAGCATCGTGAAAGGGGTTAGTTTGTCTTCAATGATTTGTGGATGAAGTGAAAACGTGAATCAAACTGATATGACATTACCTGGTATAAGGTTTTGCTTGCTGATGGTACACGGGTGGAGTCATCGGCTATACTGTCCAATGCTACCCCTTACAAAACTTATGTGGTAAATCTTGTTAAGTCATTTTTTTTTTGTCTAAGTTCAAAACTCCCTGTATATGTCAGTTAAAAGTGTGTTGTTTGCTAACAAATTTACGTTTGTTCTTTCTGTCTTGGATAACAGGAGTTGGTTCCGACCAATGTTCTTCCTGAAAATTTCATCGGTGCTATTAAGAACTCAGATTACAGCTCTGTAAGGATTCCATGTCGTTTAAGTCCCTCATTCTCTGGATCAAGAGATGATAGATCTCTCTATAGGCGAAATACTTTTTTTTTGTTTTTTTTTTTTAATTACACCATCTAGCTAATTATCTGGTGATTGGTTGTTTAATTGTTGTGAACAGGCAACTACCAAGATAAACTTGGCTGTTGACAAATTACCACAGTTCCAGTGCTGCAACACAAATCATTCAAGTCCAGGTCCAGAGCATTTTGGCACTATACACATTGGTGCAGAGAGGTATCCTTGGTGCTAATTTGTTCCTCGATATTTGTATCTCCAAGAACAAATAAAAGTGATCAATGGCTCTGTTCTATCTTCTCTCTGTCAGCATGGACGAGGTTCACTCAGCATGTCATGATTCTGAAAATGGCTTACCATCGAGAAGACCAGTGATCGAAATGACTATTCCATCCACACTAGACAACACCATTTCGCCCCCAGGTACACATTCTCCCCCTTTTGGTTGTTTAGGATTAGAACTCTGAATGTGATTTTGTATGTAGGGAAGCATGTAATCAACTTGTTCATCCAATACACTCCTTACAAGCCATCAGATGGAAACTGGGAAGATCCTACTTACCGAGTTAGTTGGTTAATACACTCTTGGCTAAACATTCCTTTACACTTACAAGACATGCAAGCCCATCCGGATTTGCTTTTGCTTGTGTAAAATCAGGAAGCATTTGCACAAAGGTGTTTCAAACTGATTGATGAATATGCACCCGGGTTTAGCTCATCCATCATTAGCTACGACATGTTGACTCCTCCGGACCTGGAACGGGAAATTGGTCTAACAGGTATATAAAGTGAAAAAGATCCCAAGTAAATGCGACATGTCCAAAGCATATTGACATTACAGCCCATTTGTATTCTGCAGGCGGAAACATCTTTCACGGTGCCATGGGATTAGACTCTCTCTTCTTGATGCGCCCTGTGAAAGGATGGTAAGCGACTCTCAGTACTCGAAACAGTCTTTACGATTGATGATTATATGATTCAAAACTTTGTTGGAATGTGACACAGGTCAAATTACAGAAGCCCTTTGAAAGGTCTCTACTTGTGCGGCAGCGGAGTTCATCCTGGAGGCGGAGTTATGGGTGCACCTGGAAGAAACGCTGCACATGTTGTTCTTCAAGACTTGAAAAAAATCTAGCGAGGTTAATCTCTCAGACTGTGCAATGATAACTCTCATGTGTAAGTTGTTTGCTATTGCTCTGAAACCTCTGTCTTAAACAGAGGCTTACAGACTCATGGACTCAGTTGTTATCAACGAATAATAAGCCCTCCACGTGTAGCTTAAGTGCTTAACCTAATTCAACAAATATGGAAAGTGCCCTAAACAACGAAAATGGAAAGTGAACAAGCTAGCGACAACATCGGCGCCGCAAAAAAGTAGAATGATTTCTTTCCCTCTGCGAGACGACGATGAGGAAAACGACACATACGAAGCTAAAATGCTCCTCATAGGCGACGGTGAGAGTTTACCTCCTATTCCTCTGCGTGACGGTGCACCGGAGCTCCATAAGTACAACATCCGCTCCATCGAGTCAACACTCGTGATTCGTGAGCTGACGTCACAAGGTCTCTCCTTTCAGCTCTGGCCAGCCGCTTCTACTTTGGTCACGTTGCTTGATAACTACCGACGTGACCCTAGCAACAGTCCACTCACCGCCACACTCTCGTCACTGAAACCATCGCCGTTGAACATACTCGAGCTCGGATCTGGAACCGGCGTCGTCGGGATCGCTGCGGCAATCACTCTCTCTGCTAACGTCACGGTGACGGATCTCCCACACGTCTTAGACAATCTCAACTTCAACGCCGAAGCAAACGCTGAAACTGTTGAGAGATTCGGCGGGAAAGTCGACGTGGCACCACTCCGATGGGGAGAAGCTGATGACGTGGAGGAGGTTCTAGGTCGGAACGTTGACTTGATTCTGGCTTCGGACGTGGTGTATCATGACCATCTCTACGAGCCTCTCCTCAAAACGCTGCGTTTGATGCAGCTAGAGGGGAAGAGGTTAGTTTTCCTGATGGCTCATCTAAGGAGATGGAAGAAAGAATCTGTCTTCTTCAAGAAAGCTCGAAAGCTCTTCGATGTTGACGTTATCCACTCTGATGTTCCTCAACAGGGTTCTAGAATCGGTGTTGTGGTTTACCGTTTTACTACGAAACAGCCAAATCAGAATGGTCGGATTGTTTCGTGTTAGCAATTGCATTGTCACGATTCATTTCCTTAATGTTTGCTTCTTTTGGGGTTTGTGGTCTAAACACTATACTTTCGTTGACCGTTTATTGTATATCAAATGGTTTGTTTAAATTTAAGTGAGTTCCTGTGGAAATTTGCTTCAAAATCAATACTTTTTTTGGTTTCTAATCTAACAGTTGCTCTATGATGTCCCCAAGTTCTTCCTTTTTCGTTGCTGTTATGTAAATCCAATACAAAGATTTGAAATTTATGTTGTTCATATAAAATGGAATCAATATCGGGAAACTTAAGGAATTTTGTATTTGGATTTAGATAAAATTGAATAGGAAAGATTTTGTCTCCATTCGGTTTAAGTTTAACCAAAACTGAGATTGCATAAATAATCTAACTAATCTTGTTTTATCTAAACCAAACCATCAGTGGTTGAGGCTGCAGCGACTAGGGTGGATATTTTAACCGAACTTTAATTCTTTAACAGTTATCAATCACAAAAGCGATAGCAAAAACGTTATTCTAAGTTTTTTCTTTTATTATTGTTTTCTCTTACCGCTATTTTATAACCATTTTAAGTGTTTTAGTATCGTTTATCGTTTCTCTTACCTGCTAAAACATTTAAGTTTTTGTGTGCAACTACTCAAACATTTAAGTTTTTGAGTATCATTCCAAATTGAGTTTCTTGAAAGGAATCAAAAATTTCTAATCATTGTTCATATTCACAAATTTGCAAAATATTTGTAAAAAGCTTTGTGATATTTGAAAGGTATTCTAAAAATGTTTTTAAAAGCCAATTAACTAGTTTTTTTTGTCCATCTATTCTCTAATTTCTAACAAACTCGAATTATCAATAAAAAAAATAGAAGCAAACTTATAGTTATAGATCAAAAGTAAATATTAATAATCTCAAGTTAACTAATTTAATGAAATGTCATATAACTAAAAAGAAAACAACATAAGAGCCATTGTTTATTTGTCTTTCGCCAACGAGATGAAAGTGAGTGATTTAAGACTTTCTCGCTAGCGAGTTGAAACAAGAGAGAACGAAAAAGGGTAATATGAGCCAAAATTTGACAAAAACCATATAGCAAATAGACATTGTTTAGTCAAATGATATTTTTTAAAACTTTTTTTATTTTAGGTTATTTGCATATTCTCTAATTCCTTATAAAATTGTCTCTTTCTTTTGAAGATGTCTCATATTATCAAGTAAAGTTACACGAAATGGATATAGCTAGACTATCTCATATTTTCTCTTTTCTTATTGTCACAATTTTATTATGACGTCAAGCTTTTCTAAAAAATTCACATGTTTATGTAACTCATAAAATATGTTTACATATTATGCAAATCACATTTTTAACCCTCAAAGTGTAACTGAGTAGCACTTTAAACCTCGAAAAAATTATACTAACACTATAAACCACCAAACTTGTTTTATTAACACTTTAAACCTCAAAACAATTTTTTATGTTTGCAAAGCCATAAAAGATGATGGAACAATCAATTTATGTTTGTTTAATATATATTTATTTAATTTAAATTAAATTAATTATATTATTTATTACGATTTTGACGATAAATAAAAAAAGTTAAAAAAAAAAAATCATCATCTTCGACTATTCACCGTCCAACCACAATTTTTCGGATTTTTATTCAATTTATTGTATGTGTTCACCATCTTTTTATCCAATTGGTATTATGAGATTCTAATTTGAGAAATTGTTAAAAATGCCCCTTTTTCAATACCCCTTTTCAAAAATGCCTCCTTTGAGAGTCCATTTTTAAGTTTGCCCTCTTTTAATTTTTAATGACCATTTTACCCTTATTTGAAGCAAAATTAGGTCCACAAAATACAAAATATTTTTTGGCGGGAAAAGTGATCCCGCAATTTTCCCGCCAAAACACTTGTAAAAACTTTAAAATACCTTGTAAAATTTTTCCGTAAAAATTTTTCCCGCCAAAAAATTTTTTTTGCAGGAAAAGTGATTCCGCAATTTTTTTGGCGAAATTTTTTTTGCGGAAAAAGTTTTAGCGGAAAAAAATTACAAGGTATTTTAAAAGTTTTACAGAGTATTTACAAGTGTTTTGTAAGGTTTTACAATGTATTTTAAAAGGTTTTACAAGGTACTTATAAGGTTTTATAAGGTATTTATAACTTGTAAAACCTTATAAAACCTTATAAAAAACTTGTAAAGTCTTATAACTTGTAAAACCTTATAAAATAGCTTGTAAAAGCTTATAATATCTTATAAATACCTTATAAATACGTTGTAAAACCTTTTAAAATATATTGTAAAACCTTATAAATACCCTGTAAAAAACCTTTAAAATACCTTGTAAATTTTTCCCGCCAAAAATTTAACGCCAAAAAAATTGCGGAATCACTTTTCCCGCAAAAAAATTTTTTTTGGTGGAAAAAGTTTTTACGGAAAAATTTTACAAGGTATTTTAAAGGTTTTACAAGTTTTTACAAAATCAAATTTGTAATTTTGATGTGTGCACATTCTCTTGTTTTCCTTATATATTTGTGATATCTTTTATTAAAAGAATGGTAATTTAGTCATTTTGTACATAAAAATGGATATTTTTAAAAATGGACAGCCAAATGGGGCATTTTTGAAAAAGGGGCATTTTTGTGAGTCTCCCTTCCAATTTATCCATTGGAGAGAGTGAAAACGCTTATGGATCATTCTAAAAGATTGTTTCAACAGTTTATTAAGAAATTTCATGGTCGGACAATGAGTAAACGAAAAAAATAAAGTTTTTTTTTTGTTTTTATAGATTTTTATTAATTGTAATAAATAACAAAATTGATTAAAATTTAAAATAAATTAAATAAATATATATTACATAAACATAAATTGATTGTTCCATCATCTTTTATAGTTTTGCAAACAGAAAAGTTAGTTTGGAGGTTTAAATGTTAGTAAAACAATCTTGGTGGTTTATAATGTTAGTAGAATTCTTTCGAGGTTTAAAGTGCTTCCCAGTTTCACTTTGAGGGTTAAAAATGTGATTTTCCCTATATTTAAGTAACTATATAAATTTATCTTTTCTTATTGTCACAATTTTGTTTTCATCTTGCCCACATTCAAATTATAAGGTGTAACACACTCTTCTAATAGGTGTAAATAATTTATTAAAATTCAATAATACAACATATGAAAATTTACGAATATCATAACTTATAATAACCAAAAAATTATATACTTTTATAAATAGGCCAATGTTTATATTAGATGATTTAATAATTAGTATAACATAACTACAAATAGTGTTTTATATTTTTCACTATGCATAATAAATCTATTGAAAAATAACTAAAATGTTGCATTTACTAAAATTAAATATATATTTTTATATAATTTTAGTTAAACTTACAAAATTTTTGTTAAAAAATTAAGGATGATTTCGACCGACAATCCGTGAAACGCACGGGTCTATATCTAGTAAATAATATAGTAAAGTAAAAAAATACTAATATATGAGCAAATGCAAGATATCAAATCTTAAGAACCTTTTAAATTTCTTCTAATCATACTTATAATAAAACAAATCTATTTTATAAAAAGATGTCCCGCCGCGTATCGCCGACTTTTGTCTAGTCCAACCATAATAGCCGACTTTTTGTAATTAGCTAGCAAAACTACCTTTGGTTGAGATTGCAAAACACACCAAAGTAGCATAAAAATTACATCAAGTGTTCTCACAAAGTTACAGGTTAATAATAACAATAGCTTTCCGTCAAACATCAAATAACAAAGGCCAATTCCCTAACGAATAAGGAATACATCAATCTGCACAAAGTGAGGACAAAACAAATTGATGTTTTTGGAACAGTTATACATTTGATGTGCATACTTGAATTATTGGTGGCTTCTGTACAGATCGATGCTCCCTAGTTGTAGTCTCGAGGTCGAATTCACGTCTCGTACACTTAAAAACCGGAACCTGCAACATACACATTAGATATGACCATAACAAAAAAAGATAAGCAAATGGGACTCTGCCTTATCAAACTCAATTCAAAACACATTTGTGATTATAGATCAGAGAAAAGATATTTAATATACCTGAAAAGATTTGCTTGGAATCCGGGTGTTGTTATTTTGTAGG